TCAGGTACCAACCAACCAAGGGTGAAGAAACTTCCAAAATAAATCAAAGGATTTACGTTTAAATTACATATATCTCTTAAGTATTCAGAAGTACTTATATAAGACGAGCCAATAAGAATTCATTGTTGAGTCTTATCTTAAGCAGCAGTAAATTTTGTTTTAATAAATGAAACAACATTCTTGGCATTCCAGGGTTTATTGAAGTTTAAATAATTCCTGTTTTATAGTTTTCTACAAAGAAATATTGTCATTCTATTTGGAATGTTTCATTCTGATTTTCTCTGTCAAGAGAAACGATGACAAAGGTAGATTTATTGTTGAATAAAATAGCTTTTTCTAAAATCTATTAGTTATCATGTAATCCAACCAAAACTGACAAGCAGTACTGATGTCTTGTCAAATTGTACAATGTTCATAGATCTCATCTTTTATTAGCTTTTTCCTGACACGTGGAGATTTTCGATTAAAAGATAATATAAAGTGGTTGGAAAAAGTCGGCAAGAAACTTCTAAACTAAGTTTTACCCTAGTTGGGAATTTTCACCATGCAGGCTTTGTTGATAAGGGATTTAACAATCTCCATAACTTTTTACTGACGATTATCATGTACTCATGAGTGACTAGTTTTGAGAGGTAATTCTTGGAGTTCTAGTGAGAAGCTGTGACCAGTGGAGTTCTACCGTGTCGGATGTCAGAAAATGGAAGACAGTCACGCAGTATAATGGGCTGCTTGAAGTTAGACATTAACATTGTCGAATACCGGGGTCAATGATCTAAAAGTTAAACGTTCACAAGCGAGATCAAAGGTATTGGATTCGGTTTTTTCATTAGGGGTCATATATCCCTACTACTGAGGAATACATGGATGAAACGACTGTTCAGTGTTTCCAGTTTTCCAATGGTGTCTTAGATCGGATTTAAATGATAAGTATAAGTTAACACGAAACTCGGATCCAAAACAGTCTACTTATTACCTGTCCTATAACCTTTAATTATTTGTCATTGTAATGTGTGAGGGAAGATTATTGTCTACATCTACCCTATCAATTTCACTAATAACACGTTTTAAACACCAAATAAGTTTAAGACATATGTTTCTGCTTGTTAGTAGTATAAGTTTCTTATTGAAAATAAATACATAAATGTAAAAAAAATTTGAGTGCTTTACTGGACGGTTTCAAGAACAGTCAAATTATATTAGAAAGGCTAGAATCTCTTCAGGAACGATAACCACACTTTGTACCAATTCGATTTTCCGTATAACTTTTGCCCCCCTGATTGCTTGTCATGTTTTTTTCAGTTTGCTAAATTGCTGTATACTTGAAGGTCATATTATGCTATTATAGTAACAGTTTGAGTTTCTTGTTATACCAAAAATATCAAGTTACATGCAATTCTGTCTTCTTCCTGTCTTAGCTGTCGAGGTTTGATGTGTTGAGTATAATTGACTGTTGTAAGTTATGAAAAGAACCGATCGTATTACAGAAGTTCAGCCGTCTTCGTTCCTAAATCCGTAACATCGTAGGTCGTAATGAACCCCAATGACAAGACACAACAACAAAAAAGCTTTGTTTTTCTGCAACCCAAGTTAAAATTGAATTTGCTAAACAATACTAGAACAAATGTCTGTAGTTACGTATGATAAATAAATATAAACAAAAACATTAACATCTTTAATTTATGTTGAATGTCAATATAAGAAATCAATGTAAAAATGTTTGCTAGAGACATGTTGATTGGAAAAAAATATTTTTCGTCATGACCTGACAACAGAGGAAAATTCATCATGAAGTTACAGAAGAAAAAAATTGACATCACTGGAAAAATAATCATGACTATCGATTTCCAATAAAAGCGTGTTCGTATAGAAACGTGAGAGTCACATGTTTGTCTCCTAGTGAAATCGAAATGGAAAGAAGAGAATGAACTGTTTAGAAATCTGTAAACAAAATAGAATAATTATTTAGTATAACGGTAACTTTTAAAATAGCTCTTAACTGGATATTATTTCATGACTAAATATGCGCGAACAAATCTTCAAGAATAATTTTCCTTGTAATCTTTAATTAAAATCTTTGATTCACCCTTGATTCCAATCACAAACAATTTACTTAACTAACGAAGTCATCATTGTAAGTCATTAATGATCACTCACTTTATTTCCAATGATATATTATTTTCTTATCTGATACGGCTACATGGTTTAAATTATCTACCAGTTAGTTAGTAATTAATATAAATCATTCATATGGAAATTTGGATGCGTAAGATTTGTGACTTATTAAATTGAAAATAATTTATTAATTTATTTCCACCTAGGGGACCCTCTAGCGCTACTGCCGGTCTCAAGCCCGGACAAAGGAGGAGGGTTAGGTATGAGGTTAGCGACGACAATTAACTCACTAAAAGAAACACTAACCGGAAGTAATTAATTAATTATTAATATAAAACAGTATCAATTCATAACAAATGAGCGTAGCAGTAAAGATCTTTGACTAACAGAGTCTACAATTCATTAAAACAATAATTCACTTTTGTAACTGAAGAAAAGCAGTATTTTACTAATCTCTAATAGCTATCTAAATTACACCACATATTGAGAGCGACAGGAAGGCGGGCGGATTGGACATTTATCCACAGCTTTTACAGATATGAAATATTTAGTAAATAGCTATGTAAGTCATCTGACATTCATTCAGTTTTCTTAGCTTGAGTCGATATAAGTTAATAATAATTTCTTACATTATTTAACTCGAATTTTCTTAGTTTAATCATTAAAACACTATTCACGTTAGGAAAGTTTGATGGTTGCTTTATTTAGATTGTAAGGCTTAACTCAGTAACTATTCGACTTATACGAGTAACTTGTTGAAAACCGATATGCTAACTATGTGTTAATTGTGCAAATATTGTGATTGAATTTTTCTATTATGTATTTATTTCAACTATCTAATTACGTATGGCAACTGAACAATGTACACATGCACTCAAAGGATATGCCCTCTGGTGCAGCTAAATATTGCAAAACCCAACCATAATCATCACAGTTATTGGTAACATTCTCGTACTTGTCCGTGCTTCGGGAAAACAGAAGATTATATTAGATTATTTATGGATTACGTATATACTATGAAATAGAAAGAAGTGTCATAAAACCTAAACTGTTTGTTTTTAGATGAAGGTGAAAGTTAACTAATCACTGTTTCTATATAATTTTTGTTCTACTCAATATGATATCATTCCCCAAAACATCTAATCAGAGATAATTTTGTCCGATTGACACTCCATAAATAAACATCCTACATAGTAACAAATTCGCTTGCCAATCATTGGATGATGTGGATCCATTTGTGTTAAAGATAATTTGAATTTATCTAACCGAGATTTAAAACACGGTGAAAGACTTATTTGAATAGCCAATTCAGAATTTATATACACGTTGAGGAGAAAGTAGAAATTCAACCAATGACTTGACCAACTGCCTAAAAGCTGTCAATATTATGGAGCATAGATATTTCATTTTTAAAGACTTCAGGAATCGCGGTTCAGCTACACTGATATATGTTTGCAGGAAAGGAAATGGAAATACGTAGACCAATATACCAATTCGATTATAGTTAAGTAACGTGTCAAATGTTATTTATCTTAGTGTAAGTTTTGCTTTAGCGTGTTTGTTTTCTCAAATTTACCGTTTAAGTCATTACCGTGGGAAGTTGAGGTATGTTTCACACTATTCAATACTTACGATTAATAAATTCCTGGTTGATGCCTATCATCACTTCTCGTTCTCCACTACCTCTTTCCTTGTACTGTTGAAACGAATTACGCTGTGTAGCATAGAGTTTGGAAAGCTATATGTAGGGCGTGATGTAACTTTTGACGTTATTGTAAATATACTAACTGAAAAGCCGAATAAAATTTCCAAGCAACTGGCAAGTGCTACCAGATTTGATCAAAACCACCCACTTTATTCACCGCTTTCCCCATGTTTATCTTTTGGCAGAACAAGATGCAGATACATGAAAATTAAGGGTCCCAAATGAACATACACAAAATTGTTAGGTCCCGATAAACATAATGAATGGCAACTTTAAGATCCTTTTATGGACCAATACTAAACGTATATTTTCATCGTATAATTGTTAAATAACTAAACTATTCATATCCATGTTCCTCTTATTATAAGCTTTATTTTGACCTATGAACCATTATTATATGTTTTACCATTCTTGAATTATGCCCTGTCTATTAGTCACTGCCTCACACATTCACAGCCACATTTGGCCAAATTTTGTACAAATGTTATTTTCTATTTTATGGTACGTTGTGGTCTGTTTGATTGATATATACACTCAGTATGTTTGCAATATAGTGATTCATATTGCAGAGGCTGAGACTGGTGATCTGGATTTAATTGGCTGGGCTAGGTGGGAAGCAGGACCAACCAGGACTCTAGGCTGCTCGCACTTGTTTTGCGCGTCCTTGGTCCGATCGATAACCTGCTTCTCATTGGTGGCTTTGGGCTATAACAAAAGTCTACGATGTATCTAGGACGTATTCTATGCTATGAAAAAGTTGTAGGAGCTGACTTGGAGTTTTATATCATGCTAAAAAAAACTTGTATAAACCATCTATCTTTGCTCGTCATTTTACTTGAAAGTGATTATTATCAATACTGAGATGTTAAGAATATTACTATGGAAGTCGCGAAATTCAGATTCAGTCACTAGTCAACACGCTATATATCCAACCGGCATATTTAAAAATGATGTTAATTCCATATTCGAAACAAGACAAATTTGTTAGAAAGAACTGCTGTTGAAGTCTTTAACCTATGAGCAAGCAGAAATCTAAAATCGGAAATTTACATCTGATTCACCCAGAATATAGAAAAATTTTCGGGCTGAAACACGTTTTTACAGTGATTGGTTTAATTTTAATCCAATCAAAATTAATCAGGTCAATCGAGCATTTACATACGTTCATTTTAACTCTAAACATGACAAATCAATGTTCTTTTCATGTGGGCAGGCAGACACTAGCCTACATAAATTGATCACTAGGCCAATCTAGACAAACAAAGACCATGAGCTTAAATTATTCTAACCAATCAAGTTATTTCATTGGGACAGGTTGTGTATTAACGTGTCTATTTACTAAATTGGATTAATACATTGGATAGTGCGTATACTATTGACACATTTCGTCTAAATCTTTTATATTTTCTTTGATGATTACCTGCAAGACTAGGCTGAATATTGTATGCCGACTTTAGATTATTCATGGAGTTAACTTATACATTAGAATTGTTACATCGTCTAATCAGTCATAATTGAATGATACGATTATTCATTGTTAAACTAATGGCGTACAAATCCCGGTGACTGTCGTTCCTGTTTTGCTCAAGTTTCTCCATTAATAATGCCAACTGTAAGTATGGCAAATTTCGATGGTGAAGACCTATTGAGTGCTAGGCTCCTATCATTTATGGCTAATGGTGATCAATCGAATTCGGAAGGGCAGTATCATATGAGTGGAAATACTGACTTTAATCCATCAAATTATTGTTCACTTATGTCAGAATCTGGAAATACAAGTTTCAACATTAATTCACCAGGTCACCGGAACATTCAAACCTCACTAATTTACGACAGAACATCTAGTGGGATATCTTTAAGCCCTTCGAATGAAAATGGAGTATATGGTGGGGTACCCGCTAGTCCCATATCAGGGCCAAGTACCCCTCCTCCGACTGTTATATCTCAACCTGATTTGGCAGATAATTTCCCGAATATGCGTTACAACCATATTGGAGTACCTCCTTACTCAGCACTTACGTCTCCATGTTTAGGTAACAAGTTGGGATCTATCCCACAACACTCATTGTTAAATTTGAACAACGGGGCCGGTGATCGTCACAGCTTGCAAAACTCTCCATTTTACAATCACTATCCTGGGAATTTGCAGACACATTTACAGCGACAATATCCTGGGTTGTCTCCAGGACCTGCTGGGACATTGTTTTCTAATGGGGTGAATGGGTTTGGTACTACTTCACAAAATCTAATCTCAAAAAATGGATTATATCAGGATGCTGCATTTTCACTTCCCGGTTTTCGTCCTACAAACTCGAGTTCCACATACTGTCCTCAACGAGAACTGTTTCCAACCATTCAGTCATCTCATCCAAGTAACAGCTGTCATAACTTTATGGGTCCTGGTCTTTTGATGCAAGATCGTTTACACTACTATGCTATCGCACAAAAGCACGGGTTTATTGTTGGTGCTGAACTGGAGCGGATTAAGGAGAACTCACGCCGTTCTACAAGTCAGTCTTACGGCAGAATTTCAGCATATTTTCGTAATCGTTATGGTGAAACAGAAGCTAAAACCAAAGCAGCGTACCTCCAACTAGGAGTGCGTGTGCCAAGCAAGGATCATGTTTCAGAAATTGTTGGAAAAGGTGGTAAGTGTCAGTCTTCGAAATAACACTTATGTAATTTGTATGTTGTTAATTTCTGTGTTCAGCCGTGACTTCATCGCAATATGTATTTTTTTCCACTACCCAACTTATACCATAGGTCTATAATCCGTCGTATCATGCCAATTTCGTTTGTTTTTGTCCTGAAATATGGAGATTTTAAAATATTAACATTTCTCATTTTACTTGACATGTACATAGTATTAAAAGATATCTAGGAACTCCTAATTATATAGTTTTTTTATGTGCAACGGTCTAGATGATCTCCCTAAATTAACCACAGGTGTGTGTATTTATGAATTTACCAAGTGTCCATATGTGTCTTCGGAGCAGTAGATCAATAAGTTCCTAAAATGTCTTTCATTTGGGTTTAAATGATCTTAATCTTACGGTACATCGATTACTCTTATAGAAATATGGTTACGAACTCTTCAGCAGATTGTCTGCTCATTAAATATATGCAGCAGTCATCATATGTTAGTCGGCGGTGATCGTAGTTTTCTTCACAAAGAGAGCAATTAGTTTGGCATTGTGTATATTTCTCGGGATAGATAATTGAAAAATGACATTAGACTAACAAATGGCAGTTATTTCCACAGGCGCTGCACTATATGCACAAACGGGTTTTCTCAGTTAAGGCTGCCAGATTATTCTTCCGAATCATTTGAGTTGTTTTGTTGTGTTCATGCTCGATGCACAATTCTTAATATACATGTAATGTACCATTTTGGCGTTCCCATGTTATTTTGTATAACTAAGGTAATCTTTGGGTATACGTGACTTCATTAATCTTCAAGATTAAAATCTAGTCAGTATAATCCTATTTCTGGAACATTATTTCGGTTCCTCATCATTGACTTTCATTGATATCGAACAGCTTAAGATAGTGGGTTAATTTGCTTTTGTAATGAGATGTCGGTACAAATCGTCGAATTCACACACTAAATTCCTCGGGACGTTAGTTTCCTATATATTTTTTGGTTTTTTGGTATCCTGGGCTTTTTATGTAGTGAAACCGTTTAAAAGTATTTCGGCCCCATCTTTATCCCTAGGAATAAGTGTTATTGTGTAATGTTATTTTAATGCAAATACTCACGCTTTGACAGTATAAGGATTGCGTGATTCACGTCCGAACTGCAACATTGAGCACAGTCTAGTAATTATTAGTTCATTTATTCGGTTTTAGGGCTTGTTATGACCGTAATCTTACAATTTTGCGTACAGAGAATAGATCAGTTTTTACAAAGTGGTCATACATATTGCACTGCGTAGTGTTTTGTATGATTTCCGTGGTAGATTTGCTGCTCATTCGTGACAACAATCAAATTTTAACCGCTAAGTCGTCCTTTAAACGATAACATGAGGTTGTATAACTTCTACAGAATACACATAAAGGAGGTAAAACTAATGAGTTTGAATTGAATTTAGTAAGACAATTGGAATGTATCCCGATAATTAGATTTTATAAGGACTAGATAAAATTATATCGAAAACGGTTAACAGTAAACATCACGGAAAAATAAATAAAGAGATATGGTGATCTTAAAATAAGAAAAAAATTAATGGAAATAATGTTACTGGTCAAGCCCAAGGTAAAGACAAACAGGGCGTACTTCTATTGTTTTAAGGAGTTCGAAACTAACAAATATTGGCAGATTTGGACGGATTCTCCCTTGAAACTTATGTGGGTCAATTAGGCGATCAAAGCCAGTTGAATGTTCAAGGGCAAAACTCAATTACTTTCCTCACCTTTGTATAATTAAAATGGATTATATACCTATGTGTTAAAGATAACCATGCTACAGTCTATATGTCGTACTCAACAGGAGCAACTAGACTGCTAAATCTACGTAGAGGCAACCAGATGAGGGGTCATATCGTCTACGGATATAAAAGACAGTTTCTTGGTTTTTCAGTTATTTTCCCTATCACGCAATCTCCAATATTAGGTTTCCTAACGAAATCTTGATCCTAGTAGTGTTTATCGGTTAAGAGTACACTGATATTAGCTGTATGTCGAATATAGAATTACACCACTTTTGTTTGTCATTTTGGGTGATAATATCTTGCATTGAGGTAGACGATGGTTGGGCATATGTACTACTCATCCTAGTCACCTCAGTCGGTGAATATTCACCACTTCACCAACCGATTTGCTATTTCTACCTATTATCCCGCGTCTAACTTCAGGATCGTTCACTTGGTAGTCCCAACACTTAAGCAATCACTCGAGGGACAGTGTACAACAGTCGTGAACGCTTAAGAATATATTTTCCACTGCGTATCTTCCGAACACAATCAAGATCTGGAAAAAGAATGGTTTTTAAATTACGGTCGTTTAACTTTCCAATTGGAGTCAGCCTTTACTGCTGGCATCAGTAGCACTAGCTAACCAGTTCGTCCGGGCTTTGTTATTCAATTAATTCCATAGTTAGGGAAAACTGGCTAACAGTTTTTTAAATTATATTATCGTCACAATCTCTATCGTTTCGTGGGATTTCTCAATTGTAAAGTAGCTAGGGTAATTGGAAATAGTAGTTTAACACAAAATGTACTTATCAAGAAACAACACAGGATAAGAAGAACTATCCCTTCCTGACAAGTCATAATGTAAGAAAGAATGTTTACTACAATAAAAAGAATATTTAGTTTTTTGTATATGGGAAACATATTGTTGCTTTTCTGTCCTGCAATTCGATATTATCTTCTTTGTAGAAACATAAAGACATGGATTTTGATTGATGTATTTTGTAATAAAGCCATAACCTGGGTTTATTGATTAGGCTCGTGCGATGAAATTATCTAAATCTTTTGTTTTGTATAGCTCGATATTATTGGCATCTGTTTTTGAGTGGTTATTTTCTGGTGCTTTCTGGATTTAAAGTGGGAATATCTCTGAATACATTGCTTATTGTGGTAGTTTTGTGTTAGGAAAGTATAATATGCAATGAAAAATTCACTGATAAAACCCGGTATAAATGAAATGAGGCACATCTATTGTATCAAACTTTTAATATTAAAACATAAATACTACTTAAACCCCAAGTTTTCAAGTTATATCTTTTAGGAATTTGTTGATAAGTGAAGATGCAACTATATATTTCAGCATTCACTCACAAACCTTGTATATCAGACTGTTGGTCATCTGTTTATGTGAGGGTACTTTGTATTCTCCCGTCAATCAACCTAAAATGCATGGAATCATTCTAAGCTTGTGATTGGAAAAGTAATTAACATCAGTTCCTTATTACTGGACGACATCGAAGTTGTCAGTAATGATTGTCAATCTGACCATTATCATTACGATTTGCAGCTAGTGTAAATATAATCGTTTTTCAGATATCCAATAACTTTTTCTTATTTGGTTAGACGATTATTGTTTAACTTTCCAAACTATACAGTTTTTTTTACGAATAGTTTTTCAGTAACATTAATTGTTTTTATTGATTCCACTTTAAAAAGTAGTCTAGGAATACCCCCAGCAATCGAATATAGTATAAAGTGGGCGTTCTTATCATGTCAAACATTAGCATGTCCGACTGTTTGTTCTCTGTTTATCATCTTTGAACTACTAATCTCTGTGGATTAGTCAATTTTCAGCAATAATAAGTCTTTTTTCAATATCTTGGAATTACAATTGAATGACAGCGCAAACAGTGAAGGTGCAATGATCTGAATCATTCATTTCTTCAGCATATTTGGATACCTTTTCGTAAAGTTGTTTAGTGGAATTCATTGGGTTACTTTCGTTTTGGCTGGAATTTTCTCAATTTTGATTTGATGTTAATTTCACATTTTTAACAATGTTATTTATGTTACTGTGTTGATTATAATCAGTTGGTAGCTCTATTTATCTCATTCTAACAAAACTAATTGCCTAAAATGTTCATAACCCTACCAAAATAATGAGCGATTCTTGCCTTTTCCATTTTTTTTTAGGTCAAAAAATCAAATTGATACGTGAAGAAACTGGCGCGTTAATTACAACACCTGGTGAACAAGAAGAACATGTGTTTATTATTGAAGCTCCCCCAGAAATAGCGATGCGTGTTGCTCATCATCTAGCCACCAGAGCACAAGAAATAACTCAAAGCAAGATTGTTGCGGGCGAAAGAAGACGTGGTTCTACTAGTTCCCAGCCATGTGGTACAGATAGCGGAGTAAATATGACTGTGTCTAATGGTAACTCAGGACCAAACTTAACGCCTGGTGGTTCAAACAACTTCGTTATTCCTAATACATGTCCTGCTTCTGGGCTTTTATCACTAAGCAACAGTGTAAATAACTCACCACTCCATCCATCTACAACTGTAAATGCACATTTCAATGGTGTTATTCATTCTTCCAACAGCTCTGTTCGTAGTTCAAATGCAACCATATTTACTCCCTCATTCTCAAGTTTACCAGCTAGTCCAGGAAACTCGAATTCATTGGGCAGTCAGTTACAGACGAATACAATAACGAGTACTGGTATGTTTTCAAGCACAAGTACACCTGGTAGTCGTGTGCTTTTGGCACGTGGTCGAATATCTGTTCCTCAGGAAATGGTGGGTAAGATAATCGGCACTCAGGGTCAATCATTACTACTATACAAAAGGATACTGGTACGGAGATAAAAAGCCCTCCTAAAGAAGCTGTACGTGGTCCAAATGCGACATCGGAATTTGAGATTTCGGCATATCAAGGTTTAGGCTTAAGTTCAAACCAGGCTGCTGAATGTAGAGTGCAACAAGCCAAGCAGTTGATCGGTCACTTAGTGATGAGACAGTTGGAACGACGTGCCAGCGAGGAGGTGGAGGAGGCTTCTGGATCATCTAATATAAGCTCTGAAGAGCAAAGAGTTAATGGTCCCAGTGCATCGACAATATCTAGTGTTTGTAACAGTACTTCAAAAACAAACGGTGGCGGTAATAATGGTTGGATGTGGCCTGATGTTGCTCAAATGGATTCACAAGAAGCTCGCGAAGTTTTAGATCGCATACTAGTGGAGTCCAAAAATAAAACTCGTCGAGCAAAGGAGCTCGCTGTTGTTTCTACAGGGCCTGCATCAACATCTGTATGTTCGATAGCCACTATGAATACGCAGGGTTCGTTACTTAATCTAAAAGGTTGTAATGGTTCTCAAAGTTTATCTGGCGATACTCAACATTCTAATCATTTCCAGTCTCACTTACTGAATGGAACTTATTTTGACAGTGCTCAAACGAATGGCTGTGAGGATGTGATATCTGGTGATACTTCCGCTTGTAATGGTAATTCAAGCAATCAGTGTGCACTAAATAATGACTCAAGAATGTTACCCACTCCATTTAGTCTAAGCAATGGCCACTTTAATCATCGTTCTTCAACTACAACTGACGGTGCATCTAATGGATTCCAAATGTGTATTCCGCGTACTGTTCAGAGTAAGTATTCTTGGTTCCTGTTTTTTTTTGCATCTCGATTTGTGTTAATAGATTCTGAATAACAAAGACTACTTTCAATGAAAGCGTAAATGTGGTGAATTATCTGCACCACAGTCAATTTTAAGTTTCGTGGAAAATATTCAGCTGTATTACGGTCACTTTACCAACACAACGTATAACAGTTTGTGAATCAATGTCACGTACCTGTTATAAAATGGTTTTGTGAATGCAAGGTTTATTTTTGCTTATCCGCTGAATATAGTGTTAAAATCAGTTCATTTTTTGTTTTGAAGCGTATCCGATGACATCTCAAATCAAGAAAGCGATGTGCATTATCTGTGTAATGGTCACTCAACTCAGTTACTTTTCATTCTCAACTATTCGATACGTTTACCATTCTCTTCGTTTCCTCTATTCATTTCCATTGTCAAGTGTTTGGTTTATCAAGGTATTAGATGTCATGCAAAATATCTTTTCGAACTATGAAAGAAATTGATCGATTGCAGTCCTAAACATCAATGATAAGATTCAAGTAAAACAATAACAAGTGAATTAAACTTCACCCATTGCACAGGCAAGTGGCTATCAGGACTCATTAGCTGTGTGGATAACGCGATGGAGTTTGAAGCGAATGGTACTGGGTCGGAGTGCCAGACAGTGAACATCAACTGTGAGATGCAGGCACGTGCAGCTGACCAGTGCCAGATAGGAGGGAACGCGCTTCCTGGATTCCACTGCTAGCCACTATCCATCTTTGCTTATAGTGTTTGTAATTGAAGGCAATATCGAGACATATGCACATATGCCAATAAGAGACTGATCAATTGCAGTCCTAAATATCAATCGGAAGATTCAAGTAAAACAATACCAAGTGAATGTAAAAGTCATTGTTTTAGGATAATACCAAGCATTGGTTCTCTAATCTCCCTAAATACTCGTTAATCTTTGCACTATTTCCCTTTATGTTGCAGATAGTTCTTCTGAGTCAAGATTGGTCGATTTCACATATTTAAAAAATTACTAACAACATATGGGTCAGTTAGCAACAACGTAGAGCTTCGTACGTACGTACGTACATCAGTTCAAGTTGCCATACCACATTAGCACACAAATACAATTGTCGATTCAAATCCCACAGTGGTAGAGGTAGTAAAAGTATAAGCAGTAATCGGAAAGATTAGGGTTTGAAGACGTTATTCGAGGAGTATAATCCAGTGAAATAAATTTGGAAAGAGAAAAAATGGACATGAAGAATTCAGATTAGAATTAAGGAGAACACAAAGAGTGGATGCACCTGCGCCATTGCAAACGATTTTGAGCCATGCCATTCAAGGTCTCTAACCATCGGTTGCTATCATCTCGCGGATCCAAACCAGGTAGTCTACACCTACCAACGTGGCTCAATCCATTTGTCAGTGACTTCATGGATTTACCTCATGTTTTGGTCTGGCCACCCCTAACAACCTTTTATGACCAGAACTACACTGTCAAAGTGGTTCCAAACTGACAGTTTGGTTTCAAAATTGGGTTCCTTTGACTGTAGCACATAGGATCTCTATATCAATTTTAAGTTCATTTATTGTTTCTCACCAACTTTAGTTTTATCTGTGCAGTAAAATTAATCCGTTCAATATACTGATGAGTTGCAACACGTTGACAAAATATATATGTAATTTATGTCGCGAGTGGTATAGGAATGAGTTCAGACATGTTAATTTATAAAATATGGATTTGTAAGTATATATACAACGTGTTGCAACTCATCAGTACGTTGACTGAATCGATTTTGTTGCATAGATTAAATTAAAATCACTGAGGAACAAAGGTAATATGACACTAAAGTACCGAAAGTTCTTTCTTTACAGGTCATAAAACATTTCCATTTACCTCTTACTGACGTAAATTGAAAACTGAGTATCTAGGTATTTGACTCATTTGTGTCAGTGGTGGGAATTGAATAGTTGTATTATACTATAAAAATCAGTTTTGTTGTTGTTGGGCTTCGAATTAATACTATTTCATCTAAATAAACTCAGAATAGCTAATACCGAAATCTTCCAACTTTTTGTCACTGTAAGAGCTGTGCACAAAATTCTTACAGCCAATGCGTTAGGGTAGTTAAGTTGTGTAAATAATTTCAGCCTACGAAATTCGATATATCATACTCCGTAAACTAAACATATTTACAGAGGTACTTAGACTTTTCTATATGATCTCAAACCAACCCGTTTAGGGGTTCGGCACTATTTTCTTCTGTCCTGCTTGAATGGAAATAATTATGCATTTGAACACATCGATAATTTTTTCGAATTATCTTTTATGAATAATTAAACTGACAAAACTTGGTGACCTTTGTTCTTCATTACCTAAAACCCCATACTTTTATTTTTTACAACAGGTTTCGACTTATCTTTATCAAATGATTTCCTCACTAATATAAATCGTGCCCCTGGTTCTAATTTGGTTTCGGACATATGGAACTCAGTAGCTCCACCATTCACTTCAGTTCCAACGGATTCCAGCTCACAGCTTCATGGTTACGTTGGCTCTAGTTCCACACTGAATAATCTAATGAATCCATCATCACCTAGTCGTAATGGCAACTCTATCAATTGTTCAAATCGCATTATAAACAGTCGTACATTAGATCATTCTTTCGACACTGCAATTTTCAACTTCAGTGATACAAGACGGGAAACAGATGGTGACATCAGCCCAACTATCTTGCTTCATGACCGTTTACAACATGAACAGGATTTACACCAACCTCTAACTCGTCGGCATAGCGATTGGATCGTCCCTTCTTCTCATCTACTGACTGAACTTACAGCTGATTCAGGGGATACTGCTTCTTCACCAGGTCGTCATAATGTAATTATCGATACTGAACCAAATTCACAGTCGTATTCGGTAAACAACTTTAATTTTATCCATGATTTAGATCAGCTATGTTTGAGCTCGTCCTGTGATAAAGATTCTGTTGCTAATGTTACTACCGCGATATGCACCACAATGAATAACTGTATGACTATTTGTCCTCCTGGTTTTGAAACACATGACCTCAACGAAAACGAATCTGTCTTCAGTCTTAAAACTAAGGAGTCGCTTGTAAATTCTACTAAACTCTGGTCATCTTCAAATCCTACTAAAACTCATTCTACTGGTAATGTTAGTAGTAATACTATAAATGGTGTTAAAAGTAATAATATTTCTCATAATCTACAACCACCATGTACTGATTCACTAGTTGGATCAAGAATATTTCCTAATACTTCTGTACTGCAGCGTTTGTTCAATAATGCAACAGGTCAAGTCTGCAATGCAATTTCTACGAATAACAATGATCTTAATATGTCTGGTCGCGTGAACAGTTCGTTTTGGCCTCAGGCTAATAATGATCACATTCCGATTTGTTGTTCATCAAATAACATTGACGATTCTTTTGGATTTTCTTGTTTGGAAAGTGAGAATCAATTTCAACATCATCAAAGTGATGCTGCTACGCGAAGTTCATCATTTTTTCCTGAAAATTTAAATGAATACACCGGTTCGATTGGGATTAATAATCACATTAATAATGGTAATAATAATAATAGTAACAAAGGGACGGAAAACACAACTAATAATAGTAGTCACCAGTCTGCACGTTGTGGTGCTATTGGTGAAGGCCGTCGTCGAAGACGCCCTAGTCCAAATCTGTTGTCAACTAATAACGATACTCTGGCTTTATCAGTTTCATCATCATTGGCGTCTATTACAGAAGTGGCCTAGATAATCCCGCTTCATCGTAATCTATAACAATTTTAGCCTTTAAACTATTCAAGTGATCTTTTTATTTCACTTAAAATATTAGTAAATTATGGTCCTAGGCATGCAATAGATTATTATTATTATGTATTATTTAATTTTATCAATTTGTATGTTCACAGTGTCAAACTTCGTTATCGCATTTCGGGAAATTATTAGTACTATTTGATAATGATATACCTGTGGTATTGTTTTTTTTTTGAAATAATTGCTTTCCTATTTCACAATTGGCTTCCACGAATTGCTTTAGGTAAATCCCATCACCTGATCCTCTCATAACACTCAATGTTGTCCATTTTCAAAGTGCTGTACCTACGTATGTTCAACCATCCTTTTCTCAAAAATTCCAGTCGTTATACGTATACTTCAATTTTTTTCTCCTCTATTAAGTAGTTTTTTGATCTACAACAACGATTCTTATCTTCTCTTTATAATTTTCATTCGGTGACTAATTGCTTCTTTCTGAATTTCAGTATGTTAACGATCGCTTCTCAGGGTTCTTTATTTGTGTCACACTATCATTATCTATTACTGAATGTTGATTCTACTGTTATATATATTCCCCCCGGTTATATTCTCCTTCATAGAGAATTCAATCTTGTCTCACAGGTTTTATCGTTCACAACAAATATACAAAAAATAAATCAAAATGTCACTTAGAAACAGAAAATAAATAGGATAATGAATTTTGATTTTGCTTTTTTTTCTAAAAATAAAATTCTGCTAAAATTTCATCCAATTTCCTTCCCGGTTCTAAGTGACCGTAAACAGAAGAAATGTAATTAATGAATGTTTACTACTATGAAGAACAATTTGTTTGTCTCTGTGCGAAATCCTTTGTTGGATATCTTGATCAGGAAGATCTATTCAGGAAAATTTGTTTACTTGAATGCAAGCAAATAGTAATTGATTTTATTTTTCTATTAATTCAGCTAATATCGACATCTTATTTCTATTTGATTTATCTTAAAAAATGGAGACAACAGTACGAACTTTATATTTGTCATAATATCTGGTTAAGATTTTCACAAACGAACAGGAATGTGTTATTGTAGCATTTTTCAAATCATCGTATTGTGCACTATGATCATCTCAACCAGATCGTTCATATCTTATTTTCTAAATACGCTGTGTGCTCATTATCGATAATGCTATTACTACTATTTACTTTAACTTAATCCCTTCACATAATGTCATCCAGCCCACTTCTGTCTACTTTACATACTTACCTAAATTATTGTTATTTGCAGCTCTTGTTGAATTACATAATATAATTTGATATCTAGCATCATATTGTATTGTCATCAATATTTTCATACATATAATAACTTGTCTTGTTTCCTTCTACTACTTACTACTTTATTCTTTTCCTCTAGTATGTGTGTGATCAAGTATTGTTTAATACATTGTTAATTCAACACATCTTGAGATTATAAAGTGTTCAAAAAAATCAAAATATAATTAGACAGTTTTCCAGTTGACACGATTAAGTAAAGATCTATGACGCTGTTATATTTGTTGAATATCGAGTTAAGTTTTTTCTCATCCATAAAATTATGATATATATATATATATATATATATATATATATATATATATATATATATATATATATATATATATATATATATATATATATATACTTATGCTTTATAGTTCTACTAATTATATTTCATATTCATGTATTGTTATTCGATTCCTCTCAAACATCGTCTTTATCCTTATTGTTTCTACTATTATCACTATTATTTTCACTTATATTTGTAATACTACTGTTATTATTGTCATTATTATTAATGTTACTATTAACACAATTTGTAGTTCCTTATTTAAGCGATCGTAAAATCAATAGTGTTCGCCTAATTTGTGTCAGATTTATTTACGCATAAATATACTACCAGGTTCCTTTTTTTCTTTTTGTCTACGATCTAGATAAAAGTTTGTTGATCTACAGTAATCTCTTTCTACCGGTTCAGTTTTCCTTCTATACGACGTGTATGTATGTATGTGTGCACTACACTGTCTCTGTTATTCATCATAATCAGGTGACAACTTCCTTCATTTCTAGTTCTTTTTGTCTACTGTTCACGGTTCCTTTTTTCTATATATATAGTCGATTGCTATTTTCTAACAGTCAAATGAAATTAATGTGTGTTAAACGAAGCAAGGAGACGAAAAAATAGAATATCTTCGAGATGTAATTTATTCAAGATGATAGACATACGTTTTATCTTTTTTTTTTTGTAGAACATTAACTATCTGTTATAAACTTCATATTTCTGTTATTCTTGCATTCTCCTTTGAAAATGCTCTCTATTATTGTTATCATTATTTTCCCCTTATTTATCTTTTCCTACCACTCTTATCCTCATTGGCTGTCAATCCTATTTTTGTAAATTTGGTTTTGATGTTTCTCAACTTCCCAATAACATTTATTTCCTTCATGTGTTTTTGTGCATTATATCTATTTTGTCCACTACAGTAATATATATATATATATCATATCTATTTTCGGTTCATCTACGCTCACAATAAGTTGAGCTTCATCATATATTTCTACTACCTAAGACATTTGGTCTCCAATTAAATTATCAATACCTTTAATATCCTGTCTTCTGTTTCCCTACATGAATTTGTCAATTGTCTACACACAAACACATTATATATATTCATTATTCTAAAATTAGTCCATCATATACACAGGTGAGACAAAACGGTATATTGTTTTGATATTCTTAATGAACTACTCATATATATATATATATATATATATATATATATATATATATATATATATATAATCTATTGTGGACTTTTTATTCTTCACCATTCGTAATATTACGATGTAGCACCTAAATTATTCATATTAAGAAATCTTACATAGACTCATATTATTCTATTTATACCCTTTAAACCATTTATAATTTATAGACCATATTAAACAATGAATTTAAAACAAACGATACTAACATATATTCTATACACATATAAATGAGTTTTAGTTCAATTTAAATTATATTGTACTTTTCTATTACATACATTTTCTACGTATATATACATATATATATATTTTGTATTACTTATTGACGATGTCTTCATTTATTCCATGTCTACGTGTGTGTGTGTATGTATGTACACGTGCGTGCTACGTGATTTGGAGTTTTTTCTAGGCTTTTTTTTGATGAAGGACAATGTTTATGTTTATTACCGTTGAGACGTATTCTGTTTTGCATATTCCTAAATATTGCACACACGTTCATGCACGCACTCATTTTAAGACATCAACCAATTTACAACAGATGATAATCTAGAGAAATTTCACCAAAAAGAGTATCCAAATCTGATCTACAAAGTATTTTATCAATTCAGTTATGATAGAAGAGTTTTTTTGGATTTGCTTTGCATGAAGATATATATATATATATAATGGATTACTCATCCTCAGTGCTAAATGATATTTTTTAATACAAAAGATCCCGTTTACGATGGAATTTGTCGTCTACCCGGTTGAAAAAGAGTGCTTATTATGAAACATTACTAATACTATTTAATTACTTTTATGCACAGCTGTGGCATTTTGTTTATCTTTTTATGTACATGTGTGTGTGTGCATTTGTGTAAGTGCATGTATGAATGGTCACAATTTATTATTAGTTCCTATTATGTTTGTTTTCTAGCCTTAATTGCACTATTCTAAAAAAAAATAATTAAATTATTGTTATATTTCATGTTTTTTTTCTCAATTATCGTAATGAAAAAGTGAGAATATGTCATTTTATAGTTTACTGGTTGAATTACTTAAGTATTACTTGATTGATTATATAACAAGAACTAATAAATTACCATTAGAAATATCGTGAGTCGATAAGAGTTAACATATATAGTCTTGGGAAGTTTTTCGATTGACTAGATGGATTGCTATAATATATCAGTAAACATTACTAAAGTAATAAGTACTGAGTGCAATTCACTTTGTGTGGTTGAGATGGTGATAATGTCAGAAATTAATTATTGAATATAACAAGCCTAAAAGGTAATTGTTAAGTGGAAGTATTTATATATTCTAGTACCCATGTTCATATAGAATGGATAAAGTGTGGCTAGCAGTGAGATCCAGAACGTTTCGTCCTATTCGTAGCTTGTCATCTAGTAGATGTACCAGAGTTAATAATCATCTTGGAACTCAAATGGTTGACATAGCTGAATATTATTCTATGAATACATAGTCATATTTTCTGAATGTAAGTGTGCATAACTAAAGAACCGGTGAAACTACAGTTTAAGCAAATAAACTTGAGGTTGTAAAAATATCTGTTCTAATCTGTAGTTTTTCAGTTTTGTATACCTAGGTCTTTGTAAATTGAAATAACTAAGCACCACAGATTCCGAAATATTTCGAAATGATTGAGATTGTATCTCGCATTTCCGGATTTCGTGAAGTGATTTCACAATGGTAGGTTCACTTGATAAACATCCTATGATGAATAGGTATCATTACCAAGGTTTGACTTCATAATTTCAAATAGATTGAGCATTGGGTAGATTGTTATAAGCAAATTAGTATATTTGTAATATCCCAATGAGTAGAAATATTAGATTTTCTCACGTTTCATGACTCAGTGTAAGCCATTTGTTCAGAGAATAAATAACCAACTCAAGATTAATCCAAGTTTAAATAGTACAACGGAACAACACAAAAATATTATGTGGTCAATCAAAAAACAGGTCTTAACCTGTTTTTTGAGCACTTCCTCTTACATGTACTTGATTGTTTCTACCCTACTCCAGGCAGAGAAAGTCCAACAGCTTATTGGTAAGATGAAAATAATGTGTTTAAAATGAAGAGTTAGCTAAGCTCTTACAAGGAAATGATTATCCCGGTGTGATATATGATTTATAGTCAGTCAATGACAGCGCGGAAATGTTCATTGGTTAACACAGTAAGTGGTGATAGTAAATTTAAT